ACAAGTTCTGATCGCTCAGTGATGATCCTTATACTTCTATAATCTGTGGAATCTCAGGATGTTATCTAAGCTTGTTTGTGCAGATCCAATAAGTATATCGATCGGTAGCTAGAGTTCTGTGCTAACGGTTTTAAGATCTTTTAACCCCCTCGGTGGGTCCGTGAGGCTTAAGGTGCTAGCTGCTGAGTGGGGGGAATCGAAATAAACATTTCATCATGCCATCAGCTCATGAGTTGGTGTTATCCCTACACCCTGACAGCCCATCATTAACATTAACTCCTGAGTCAGATGATGTGCATGTGTTTGTGTTTCACACTGTGCATGTGCTAATTGTTTGGTCTTGCAGATAATATTTAATGTGAGAAACCCTGCATATCTGTCTCTTGATTGCCTTCTGTCAACACATCCCTTATCTATTTTCCCAGTATAGAACATTGATCTGCAGTTTAATTACGCCAGCACAGTGAATCATACTGTTACAGAAAAGCCAATCACCACTACCAAAATGTAAGTTGCAGTACTTTTTTTTTCGGGGAATTTCTAAACCTTCTGATATTTTGCTTCCCTTTATTATGTATGTGCTATTGTCACAGAGACCATTAGATTCGACCGCATTTTCTATGGTGCCCATCTCATATGTGATGCAGGCTCTAATTGAATAAAAAGTGAAATAAATGGTGATAACGCTACCTAGGTTTCTCTTCAGAATAAATGTAAAAAGCCAGGTTTATAATGAAAGGGACCCTGTCCCCTTCAAAACATATGTAAGGTCATTGTCTAAATATGTAAAGATTTGTTCATTCAACCGTGAACTAAAGCCCTTTTCTGTCAAGCTACTTTTTTCTGTCATGGTATATCTGTAAGAGGTGTAGAAGAAAAGAGAAATACTGTACCGCACATACAATTACAATTGTGTGACAGCTTCCCTAAATGACTCTAAATGTTCAATTCATTGTTTTCTTAACACTTTCTTATTATTTACTTTGTAATATTTTGAAGATATTCTTTTTAGTTTTACAACTTGATGAAACCTTTGTGTTTGACATCAGCCATTATAGTCTAGATAATGTAACATGTGTAATACAGTTAATTATTCAAAATGTTAGAGTTCTTTATTTTTATACTGAAACTTGCACTACTGTTCAAAAATAAATAACAAAAAACCTGGAATAATGTATTTGGGACTGTTTTTTGCTTTTTCTTGTCGTACCGAACCCGTACCGAACCATGACCCCCAAACCGAGGTACGTACCGAACCATGAATTCTGTGAACCGTTACACCCCTATAATTGTTTTCCCCGGCAACTGAAGCTATCGATTAAGCGAAGATCAATTTTAGGTAATTTGAAGGTTTCTACACAAAATCCATTTTTGTTTTTTAGGAATGAGACAAGTTTTTAAACTGTCCCTTTTGGCTAATCATTTTTTTCTACTTTATGTTTTATTGTTGTATCTTGTGATATTAGTGAGACCTTTTTCCTTGTCATATATAATTCATGTCTTTAGTGCCTTTAAAACCAAAAACATAGTGCTTGTCAGACTCAAAATGACACATAATGTTAATTTTTGCTTTTGCAAATGTGAATTTCCTCCTAAATTCATGGTGTTTCAAAAGAGAGGAAAAGTCTCAAGAAGTATATTTATTTGTCAAGTAGAAATCAAGATGTCCAAGAGTGCAAACTGAAAGACACTTACCGGTAACTTAATATTTGCCTAATGATTCCTACTCACTTGAAACAGAATATTACGTTACACTTCCTTTCACCTGCACCTCATATTTGTGACAGTATTTTGAAGTTATTCTCCATTATCTGTCTTTGATTAGGTAAGCCCCCATGTCTCTAAACATCTGTTCAGCATGTTCCACATTTCAGAAACTGACTGATGGCAAGATTAAGAACATAGCTGCATGTAGGTACTGGAGAAGTTATGCCCTTATTACATCTCTCAGTTACCCTCCTGTGTTTACCTCCAAGCTGTTATCACGTCTCAAATGATCCATTTCAAGGAATGGATTTCTATGAATTCTGGTCTTATTATTTTCACCCACTCTTTTAAAAGAATGCTCCACCCACAAAATTACAATTTCTATATGAATTGCTCACTTGTGTTCACTTCAATTCTTGAAGTAATACGTTTTTCTTACATGCATTCAAGGTGAACCAAGAATAGAAAATGGACAAAAGTCGTAATTAATTCAAGCAAATAGTGACTGTGTTAAACAACAGAAATACGATATCGAAACAGTTCTTCACAATCTTAATGTTGTGCAGTATAATCCATCACATGTATTTAGCTGTACAGTATGCTCATTACTTCCTAAACACTACTTACTTTAAAGCTTCCACATAAACAGCTCTTTGCATCCATGCAAGTCCGGACAAGTCTAAAGTGTTTCAAAGAGAAAGGTTACAACTAAAATGCATGTGTTTGGGTAGTAGTGAGCATATGATTGTATTGGATTATACTGTAAAGCCCTTGTTTTGTGAGAGTTTGTAAAAATATGTCTTGACATTTTTTTGCTGTTGTTAAACACGTTCCCAATTTACTCCTATTCATCAAGACTTCAAGGTGAGCGATTTTGTATGAAAAATTATAATTTTGTGGATGAAGTATTCCTTTAATATATTCCTTTCAGAGCCATGCACATTTCATTTTACGTTTGCAGGTAATTTGATGGCCCAGTCATTTTATTGAAGAAATTACTGCCCAGTTTTGTTCTCACTTAAACAGTCAAACCCTCTTTATATTCTGCTTTCCTTAATTAAAGCCAGCAAATAGTGCTACGGTCTGACAGTTCACTCTGAGGACAAATCAACTCTTTCATTGTATTCAATTATGTGAGATGACAAAAGAATGCAAAGGCTAATAAGAGTAAAGGTTAAAGTAAATATAAATAAGTGATACAGTGTCAATTAAACATCTGCCTCTTCTGACATATTTTCCTCCTTTCTGTCCCTGATGGACGTCAGAGACACAACGTCTCTCCATCTTCGAATACATTCCCCTGCCTTGGGAGGAACAACAGATCAATCAGTGGTGGATAATCAATGTTAGTCTGAGAGCAGCTGTGGAGAGCCGGAAAAATGTCTGTCGTTTTCAGTTTGTTTTTGTAGAGAACAGCCAGGCGTGATGTTTATATGTAAAGGCCTCTGGAGTATGAGGGTTTAATAAACCAATGACAGCTGGGATTTCCACTGAGCATACCTCAGAGACCCTGGGCCTCATCATTCTATCTAAGGTCGAATCAGCATGGACAATGCTGCCAAATCCCATTCAGACCTAGCAATGAACTGTCCCTCACATTTCTACTGAGAACGTCAAATGAGTGTCATGTAGTAGGTCATATAAAACCATTTGATCCAAGAAGAGCATGGCTATTCAGTTTGTTCTTATGTGGATTAAACAGACTATAGGAGGGTTCATTGGATAACATTACCACTTTATGATGGATAAACGTGTTTTAAATTATCTAGTGGGACAGTGCCAGATTTGATCCAATGATGAGAGTACAGTTTGAATTGATATTGAACTAATCCAGTGAGTTTTTACATCATTAGCTTGAAAATTATCTAAAGGGACAGTTATAAAGACATTGGAAAATATATTTGTATGAAAAAGGTGTGTGGTTGCGTATTTCCAGATGGGCATAGATAAAAAGCACAAAAAAGCATTAACAACACACTGCTACCATCTAGTGGTAAAACAATAATAAATGTTCATAAACAAGAACAGGAGACTTATAAACTTTGTCATTTGTGTCACTTAATATTCAACCTCAAAAAAACACATTTTGAAATTAAGTTATATCAAAAATGATATTTCATTAACCTGTAGGAAAGGCCAGTGAAAACGATTCCATAAAATATGCATGAAAGATGATCTCCTAAGATTTGTCAGGTTTCGCCATCAGGTGTTTCCATGTGTTCTTTTCTGGTCTGAGTAGGATAATGTAGCACTTGGGTGCAAAGATACAGCCGAGCAATCCATAACTTGAAGCCAAGATAGCAAATACCTCTGTGGCCGTTGAGTACTTTCCTGGAGAGCTAATGTAGGCTGGAACAAAGGCTATCCACACTGCACAAAAAATGAGCATGCTGAACGTAATGAGTCTGGCCTCATTGAAGTTGTCCGGGAGTTTCCTTGCCAAGAAGGCCAGGAGTAGGCAGACGCAGGCCAGCAGGCCAATGTAGCCCAGCACGAGAGAAAATGCTACGGGTGAGCCTTCAGCGCACAAGAGAATGACAATAACACTCTCACGTGGTATCAGTTTGCGTGGAGTAGGGGGAACAACAACCAGCCACACTGTGCAGATGATTACCTGCATAAAAACAAACCAGTGTCATTCAAACATTTAAATTAATTATATCCTAACCATTTAAACAAATAAAGAGTCAGAAGTCCTTACCTGGATCATTGTACAAATGGTAATGATTGCCTTTTGCTGCGCAGGCCCAAACCATTTCATTACATTGCTGCCTGGAAGAGTAGCCTTGAAGGCCATTAACACCACTATGGTTTTCCCCAGAATACAAGATATGCAAAGAACAAAGGTGATGCCGAATGCTGTGTGTCGCAGCATGCAGGACCACTCAGAGGGCCGGCCGATAAAGGTCAGAGAACACAAGAAACACAGAGTCAAGGAGAAGAGCAGCAGGAAGCTCAGCTCAGAGTTGTTGGCTTTGACAATGGGTGTGGTTCTGTGATAGGAAAATATAAAGGCCACAACACAGGTGCAGAAGGAGCCAATGAGGGAAATAACCGTCAAAATAATGCCCATGGTGCCACTGAAGGAGAGGAAATCCACATATTTTGGGATACAGGCTGTTTTCTCATTATTGGACCAGAACTCTGGCAAACAGCGCACACACTCTATGGCATCTTAAAGACACAGACAACAAGTCTTAAGCTGTGGCTTTAACACTGCAATTGTTGATCACATTCTCAAAATGTAGGAAAGTATTTTGTCTCACCAGTCTGATTGCTTATCTCCCCAGCTGTGCAAACCACACAATCATGGCAGCACACAGGGAAGTTAGGTCTGATAGACTTCCGGGTTCCTGCGGGACAAATGCTGCTGCATACCGACAAGGGAACCTGAGCAAATGGGATAAAGCATACTTCACAACCCAGTCACAATAAAAATATATAATTGCAAAAAATGCGATATACAAGATATAATTGTATTCTATTGATTCCCGTACATTGGTTTCGTTACTGTTCCAAACTATGATAGGTTCCTCGATCTGGAGTTTTTGCTTTCCAACTGTGGTCGTCTCATCAAATTTTCCAATAGTGACAAATTCCATTTCTCCATCTTGTCCCATCTGCCAGTTCACAAGGTCATACATGGCTGCAGGATCCCCATTCTCATCAAACTTGATTTCATCACCAAAGGAGCTGATGTATTCCACCTGTTTTATATAATGAAGTAGCTAAGGGAAGAACGTTATTATTTTTGTAATATAAGCAAGATCCATAAATTATGATCACGCATTGCTATAACTTGTTTGTACTGAATTGGTGAGCAAATAGGAAGGTACCTGCCATGGCTGTATATTGTCTGTATTTGGACAGGCCTGCTGAGAAAATGGCCCTTTTCCTTTTACACAGCTTCTCATAGCCTTCAGTGCATGGACAATGGCATACACAGCCTTATACACATTGTAGGAAATCCTTAGTTGCGACACATCTGAATAGATATTCTTGACACTCTCCAGGTCTTCTGCTCCAGAACATGGACGTTTATCCTCAACATTATGTTCCTGACCTTCAGTCTGCACACCCAGGCTACATTGAAACATTTCTTCCCAGAAGGGTATCACGAAAGGATTTGGAAGGGCACCTGGCCTCGAGGGATTCAAGCTAAGCAGAAAGTCTTGCAATCCAGGGATCTGTGCTCGACGAATGGCAAAACCCATAGAACCCTGGAGGATGTGGTGGTACTTTTTTGGGGTGGAGAGGACGGCAGCTGTGCTCCAGGCCTCACTGGCAAGCCACTGTATCCCAGTGAGCCCCTCTCTAAATTAAAGAGATATGAATATGATTTGTTTGCAATGATAAACATATGGACATTCAAACTCAGGCAACATGAATCTGTAATAAAATCAACAAAACCAATAATACAAGTGAGTTTTAATCACAACATACAGATAATAATAGTGTTAGAAAAACGAAATGTCATGCCTGAGAGCTTCATCAAACAAAGCAGCTGCATCTTGTTCCACAGCAAACACTAGGATCACCCGAGCCCCAGAAGAGCGGATCTTGGAAATGATGGATGAAATGGTGATCTGTGCTCGGTTCTTCGGGATGACCTCATTTAGAGCAACACAGACACCTAACTTTCTGACCTAAGGGAGCATTACAGGATTCAAGATAACTTATTTCATTTTCTAAATGTATAGGCTACATACATTCCAACATGACAATTTATTCTTATTAAATTGTTTATTCATTGTTGTGTGACTATACCTCATCCGCAAATATGTTGGCCCCTCCAAGGCCATAGGCATCATCCCCTGCTATCACACCTACCCAAGTCCAGCCAAAATGCTTGACGAGTTGTACCATTGCATCTACCTAGAGATAGAAAGAAAAGGGGAATAAATACACAAGGAGAGGGACACATATTATATATATTCAGTATAAGAAAGTACGATTTCACCTACAAGGAATTTGCTTTGGTGGTTTGGTCTATTGTTACAGGAATAAACATGTGGATATGATTCTGTTTGTGTGACATTGTGAATAATCTTAGTGTCCCAGTGTCCTAAGCTTCCTCTTACCTGAAATAAGTCACTGGGCATGGTCCTTAAAAAGGCAGGAAACTCCTTTTTGTCACTGAGACAGGCACAACTGGAGAAATAACTTACCTAAATAAAAGAAAAACAAACGTGTCCCAATGTCCCACAATAAAACATTATTTATTCAGTCATACTGTATGGACTAAACTTGAATACTCCAAAACTTACAATTTGAGTTTTAATCATTGACACAGTGGTATTAAAACACAACAAATAACAATGTGGCAAACACAGTTGTGAGTGGCTTTATCTAACTTACCTGTGGCACTTGGAAGACTCCGAGGAAACGGGCAACAACAAGGGACTGAGTAGAGCCTCCGTCTCCTATCACTGCTGGTACAGTCCCACGACAGGTGCCTTGACTCTCTTTCTCCACTTCAACTCCTGTAACCTTTTCATTTCTCACTAACTCCATGACAGCCTTCAGGGCCTGGTGGGGCGTACTGCATGAATCAAAGATCTTGTAGCCAAGTGTGATGTTGGGAAGGAGCTTGCCATCTCTATTGATATCCTCTATGGCAAAGATCATAGTTTGCATCCAGCGGAATGTCCGAAAGTTAAACCTGCAAGAATGGAGAAGATGTATTCAGGCAAAGTTGAAGCAATTGCAATGCATTTCACTTAACATAGTTCATAAAAAGTTGCTTCACAGAACTAAACAAGCAAGATCTGTGCCATATATGGGCATCTGAGCAGAGGTTACATCAAACATTTGCAGCTACAGCATTTTCAAGATAAGTTAAAAAACAGCTTACCTGGTGCAATGTGCAGGTGGAGGCTTAGAAGTGAAGGACAGACTGGGCTCCATCACCATATCATGAAGGGAGAAGAGCCCCCCCAATATGATGTCCCCCTTTTTCTGCAGCACAGGCAGAGACATTGATCCCGGGATTATTTTGCATTGTTGGCTCTGGTCTTGGCAGGAGTTGTAGGGAAACATTATACACCACAACAGACTCAAAACCACAAGCTTGGTCCTTCTCCAGGAAAGACCTTGCTCTACTAATCTCATCCACAAATAAATCATCCTTAATTTAAAATAAGTCACTGTCTAGTTCTAATAATATCTTTTTGGGTAACCCATACAATCAGTAAAAAAGCACCAAACAAATGTGTCAGTGGTCAGAGCTAGTGCTCACAATACAAAAACATTATGACCCCATTCTGACAAACACAGTATCAACAGGAAATAAATAAGGGTAACATTTATAGTAAAGCCAAAACAAAAATCATCTTCAAATTCAAAGTAAAGAATCCTCGTCAACATGAAGGTTCAAAAACAAGGTAATGGGCATCAGACGCATTCACTGCTACATCTACATTACATTAACACCACATAGATAAGCTTTTTTTTTTAAAGTGGTAAGCAGAGGAAGCTGTCCTGTAGCTTATATAGGCTCTCTGCCTCATATCACAACACTCAAGTTGACCTTATTTCCCCTGGGCCTCCGATCAATGGAAAATAGCACCCAGTTTTTAATGGAATGAGCACTTGACCATAATGGAGAATGACTTGAGCTTTGTCATGTCACAACATCATGCCTGACTATACTCATCCTTCAGTGATGGGAAGAGGCAGGCAGTAGACCCATGTCACAAGAGGCTGCTAAACTGAGATACATAACACACACAGACGCACACACAGGAAAAAACAAACGTGACATATCGCAAACTGATATCTTGAGAACATTGTTTACTGTTATAGAAGGGAAGAGGCACGTAAGATGCATTGTTGTATTTTTTTAAATGTACATGTAAACTGAACATATTGCATTTAGGTAGCTACAGTAAGTTGCTTTCAAAACTGTTGTAACCTGGATTCAACATGTTCTTGGTTATTAATAAACAATTTTCACAGAAATTCTGTCCTTTTCCCAACTTTCCTTATTCTTGCTTAAAATATCTTTCAAAGGGGCTAAAAAAGTTGGATGGTGAAATCAATGAGTCATTAGTGGGTTGTGCAAATCATTATCAGGACAAACCCTGCAGGCTACTAAACAGAGCACCACAGAGAGTAAAGCAAAGGTAATTTACATGCTTCATGTTGTGCTGCCTCAGGTCAAATGCTGTAGGTTTCCTTATTCATTTAATACGTCCCTGTGAGACCCTCGGAGGAGGAAGGACAGAGATTCCCTAAGACAGAAAGCTCAGTAATAGGAGGAATTTCAAGCTCTCAGGGGAAAGGGATTAGTATTTTTGTTCCTCTAAAACATAAATAGAATACAAGAAAAAGGAGATTGCAATTGTATCGCAGTTTTGCTCAGAGGGCAAATCAAGATAATTAAAGCCCCTGAGTATTGGATGTTTTCGATCACATACACCCTTGCATGTGCAGTCAGTCAAAAGAAAAGAAGAGAACGGAAAACAAACAAAAAGTAAGGTAATACGGATAGAGCTTTGAGAATAACAGATTCTACCAGACAGATAAAAACAGAGCCAGTAAAAAAGAGATAAGAGACTTAAATTGAAGCATATGGTAATGAGCTACATACAACAAGATAGACAATGAATAGTAGAAGATAAAGAATAGAACAGACAGTGAGACAGACATGCGAGAGCAGGAAGGCAGAACTATTTTCAAAATATTTGAGCGATATTTAAAAAAAGTCTGTAGTCTTCTGTTTCTGTATAAAAAGGAAAAGTCTTTCAGCCTCGACCCATGTTACTTCCAACATTTCCTAAATAAATGATTACATTTTAATTCTGTTTTAAATCTGAAACATATTAACTCTTGCATGCAGGGGGAGACTGAATACATGCAATCTAAATGAGCCAAGTTCAAAGTTGACTGCATTTTCTTCATGGCCAGAAGGTCTTCTGGATCTGTTGTGGCAGCCCCCAAATAACCCACTAGTGCACACCTGTGGTCAAACCCTTAAGACTTGGTGAACTCAAGTGACTCCTGAAGCAGCAGACTGGTATGGAGGGCAGAAGGGTTGCAGCTCTGTGGTTGCTAATGAAACATTTATGGAAGTATGTATGGGAAAATCTGGGGAGTACATGAAGAAGAGTTTTCAGTTGCCCTTAAAGAGATTCTTGCAAACCATCCAATGACAGATTTGTAAAGGTTGAAAGGAGACTTTTAGGAATGTGTCCCAGATGGAAAAAGCAGAGGTGGAAAGGACATGATAACCGTGTCCCATTCTCTATAAAGGTCACTGGGGTGGACACAAGAGGAGATACACATTGAGATGCTTCAGGGTTGGATATTGTAGGATGGGGGGGTCGTGGAGCCTCGCAGCGGCGAAACTGTGGCGCGCTTACACTGTAGGTGCGCCGCATTTGTGCTTCAGATGATGCTCCCTCCGCAAAATGAAGAACCCTCCGCAAGATGAGGCCCCCTCCGCGAGGTGAGGACCCCTCCGCGAGGTGAGGCCCCACGCAGTCTGCGTGATCGGCCTGTAGGGAGGCATGTGCTCCTGGTTGCATGTGGAC